TAAACATCACAACTTACGAGTGGACGTGGTGTTCTTATCTTGACCAACTAACGAAAATGTGTAACCCTAGCTACCTGAGTCGTAGAAGGTGAAAACCCTAATTGATGTGAAAAGAAGAATGAAGAGTCGAGCAAATGAAAATGCCAAACGATGCTTTTTCAAATCTTGTTTTTGTTTATTTACCGAGGAGATAATATTTACATATTTCAGGTGTTTTAAAAGTAATAATTATTATTTATCATTTTTTAATTTAAATAAAAATATAAATAAAATATATTAAAAAACAATAAATAGAAATGATCCCAAACATGCACTCAGACAATGATGGAGGGGGAGGCCACATCAACACAAATCGATAGTAACAGTTAGAATAAAAATACATAAAATTAATATAATTTTTAGAGAAAAAATGAAAAATTAATAACATGTTATCACAAAATTTATAAGAAGATTTTTTAAACTCTAAAACGGATAAATGAAAGTAATTATTTTGTTAATTTTTTTTTCAGCATCAACATAACTACTATTTTAAATTTACATCAACTAAACTAGAAAATATGAGATATGGTGATTGTACGTGGCCCAATAGAAGCATCCTGTGATAATACCGCAATAACACGACAATAACACCTCAATAACATAATAATAACACCACAATAATACAGTAATAATACTGCAATAATACCACAATAACATCATATGATATGTATGTAATATATCTATTTATATAAGTAATAGACTAATAGTAATATATTATTATTAATAATTTATTATATATTGTAATTTATAAGATTTAACTTCTTAAAATATCATAATTTTATTATTATGAATAACTTGTTATATCTTATAATTTATAGGATTTATTGTTTTAAAATATTTTATTTAAAAAATTTTAATTAAATATACTTTACAATATTTAATTTTAGTGGTTGTGTCATTCAAATAAACTTTCGCCTTAATGCGATGTTATTATTGTGTTATTTTTGCATTATTTTTGTATTATTCCAGTGTTATTACGGTGTTGCTTGAGGTAACCCGTGATATTATTGGAGTGTTATTCGTGTATTATTTGAGTGTTACTAAAATTGGCATGTGTTATTCGAGTGTTATTACGGTATTCCATAGCTTGATGTGTGTTTTTGATTTATTATTGATATGTTATTATGTTTTTGATTTATTATTGATATGTTATTAATGTGTTATTCAAGTGTTATTAAAGTTATACCACGATGTTATTGTGGATTTGCGTTCTGTTGCTGACATAGTTTTTCTCCGGTTTATTAGAATTTTTGGTAGTGTTATTGGAGTACTCCGTGGTTTTACTGACATTATTTTCCAGTGTTATTGGATTTTTCCCTAGGGTTTTGCAGTGTTATCATACTTCTTATCGTGTTATTGTGTTATTGAGTTATTATTTTGGTATTATTTGAGTTTATTTATTGTGGCATTTATGTTTTTCGCATTAGTGTCATGTTATTCGGATGTTAATGGTGTATCAATGAACCTAAAATAGGAAAATCAGTTAACCATTTCAACATCCATTAATCAAATAAAACAAGTTCCAACAAAATATTGTTTACATAATAGACAGAGTCAAAAGACATAGAATAAGCAAATTCTACTTTGAATTTTGGGATTTCTGCCTGCTAATCCAGTTCCTCACTTTAGTCACCTCTATGGGCTTATATTATTTTTTCCATGTATTTGCAGGCGATCATGTCTCAATCAATGCTATTATTTTGAATAGGAACATCTTTAACCATTGTCAGTGGCCATTTCGTTGGTTTGCCCCTGAAAGCATTTCTAGCATCTCTTACAAATAGATTGATCTGTAAAGTTTCATGTGGCATTGATTAGTGCATGGTTAATGCTGAATTAGATTTAAATATTCTATCGAATACACTCACAATGTTGTGTGTCATGGCCTTGTGCATCTTGTTGGGTAAAGAATATTATTCCATTTTCTCTCTTTCAAATCCCAAACCAACAATATCCAATGTAGCTCATCAACAATAAGAAATAATATAATGTTTGTATTTTTTACCGTTTCCTTTGTGATATGACTCACAGACGTTGAGGTTTGTCCCGCTCTATGCACTTACATGAAATGACACAAATGTAATAGTGGATGGAGTTTACTAAGAAACGTTGAGTTAGCATTGTAAGAATAAATTGAATTTATATCATTACCCAGTAAAATTGTGATACATATAGGTATGACCTGTCTGAATGAGGAGAGGCTTCCTATCCAACAAGGCGACAAAGGCATCTATATGTTTGTTTGTAATCAAGACATCATTTAGTATATCCTTGACTCCAGTGCAGTCAATTACAACATGACAATCGTTAATCATAAGATCATCCCTGTATTGTTAGCACAAAATCTTTGTGACATTTAAATATAAGACAATTGAATTACATAAAAAAGGTGAAGATTTACTCAGATCCCAGTGTATTTTAAAATACTTTCATCAATTAATCCTTGCATTTCAAGAGATATTAGTGATCTGTTAAGAAAGTTGATGATTGAAGCCGCAAAACGAGGCTACAAAACAACATCATGTATAAAATATATAATGACAAATTAGAACATTTAGGACACTATATAATTATTGATTTAGCAATACCACTAGCTCATAATCTTCTACATGGAAGCCTTCTCATTGATCTCTTAAATTTGCTAATGTAAGGGCTAGAGATTGAACAACTTCATTTATTGTTTCTTCCACTTCATCAGAATCTTCTTGTACTTGGTCATCCCCAATGGTTGAAGTGTCAATATACTCTCTTAGTGGTTGTTATTCAATGACTATATTATGTAGAACAGGTGCTATTATTATTTGTAGGCCCTTTTCGGCCCAACTATCTATAGCAGCAACATTATTGTTTCCTCATCAGGGGCTTTTATTGGTTGTTCTATAATGGTTGAAGTATCTATGTATTTTGTTATTGTTTGATCGCACTTTCTGGCATAAGCATCTACAACAGTGTCTACTATTGTTTCTTCTAAAACGTTAGTATGTGCAGTCAAACCCTCAACCCTTATGGTTGGAGTGTCTAAAACATGTTATGTGTTACTATCTAAAACTTTAGAGCATCCTTTACTGTTTTTCCTTTCTTAAACTCAAAATTAGTATAAGGGGAACTCAACTTCCTCTTTCTTCTACTTTGTGTGGCCTTAACCCTTTAAGCTGCCAATGGAAGATTGATGGGCTCCTTTTTCCTATAACTCACTGTCTTCATCAATAAGTGGGGATTAGTGGGTTCCCTTTTTTGTTAACTCATCGTCTTCATCAACAAGGGAGGTTGGTGGATTCCCTCATAGCTTAACACATTATCTTCGTCAATAGGAAAGGATTGGTGGGTATCTTTTTCTTTCAACTCATTACCTTAATCAATTTTTGTTTTGAGCTCTGACACTGTCTCTTGTAAGTCTGAGACTCGCTTATTCATTGTATTTATCCATGAAATTCTATAAACCATTTTTTCTAAGCTCTAAGTAGTTGGACTATTACTCCACGGTTGAATGTTCAGTATGTCGTTCTTTATTTGTTGGGCATCCACACCACAAGAAATAACCTTTTCTAATTTGCTGCTTCTCCTTTATTAGGCATTCCTTCAACAGGGCAACTTCATAAATGATTAATCTTAGCTCTTTTCTGCCTATTTTGAATGCAATTTATTCATAGTCCCAACATTTCAACATATGAAATATTAGGACATTATCATGAAGATATGGAGGGAGATCAAAAAATTTATCTACATTCAATATTTTCAAGTTATTACTAGCCTCCTCATATATGCTAGACCGGACTTTGTCAAAAACATCTCTTACTACAGATGAACGACATATACAATTGAAGGACCTTGGATTCATAAACCTACCAGAAAAAAGATGATGCAAGAAAATAATTTATGTTGGTTATTTATACATCAAAAACATGAATGCAACATAAAAATATCACACCGTAATAGAATACCAACAAAATTGTTATTGTTGAGTGATTTTGGTTTTTTTGGTGATACAATGGATAATTTGAAATATGCACGAAAATACTATACGGTTCAGTGCTTATCTCAATTACAATAAACTTCTGAATGCAAGTACAATGAAAAAAAATTGGCTGAATGATATCTAATGAATCTTAAGCACTTTGGTGACCTTTTTCTTAGAGTATTTGGCTTCTTTCTTTACACCCTATTTAGTTTCCATTTTCTCAGGCTCTTTAATCTGTATCTTCTTAGGCTCTTCAGTAACATTCTTCTGTTCTATCGTTGTAAAGAGAAAGTTCGAATATATTTCAATTGACGAACGACATTGCAAAATCTAGCTACGTGAGTCAGGCAATGATAAACCCTAATTGATGGCGAAAGAAGAAGAAAAAGTGATCGAGTCACGTGCGATGATTTTTTTTTATTATTTAAAGATACTGGCGTTATGATTTGGTGCACACTTTTCGGAAGGACTGGCGTGAAACAAAAAAGTGCTTTTTCGGAGGCTTGGGCGGGATTCAGGTCGGTCTTACATTAAGAAAAACTCATTTTTAATTATTTAATGGTTGAGACTAGCATTTACACGTAAAGATTTTTAATTGGCCTAGGAAGCAAATTTCGGACCGAATAATTTTCAGTCTTCGAGTGCATTTTACATCCCTTGCGAACCAAGTCCTGGGAGAAAATTTGCGTACGTAAGACGTACACAGCGCTGCGTACATAATAGAGGTTATTTTCGTGTTATATCGATATTATATTCATGTTATATCTTCTGTAACCTCTATGTAACTTTTATTTAACATATATATATGTATATATATGTATATATATGTATATCTATGTATATATATGTATACATACATATACATATGTATACATATGTATATATATGTATATATGTGAAAATAAAAGGTGAAACTTATTTGTAAGTTCAAATATATTACAAATAAGTTATATGCAGTTAAATCGAGGTTAATAGGATATAATAGGGATTATGTCAGCGCTGGTTAGTCTTCCGTAAATTTTTCTGAAGTCCTGCCGTCTCCTTCTACTCTTCGCCGGCTCCTTCTATCTCTCTCTCTCTCAGCCCTGGGTAATTTCTTCGATTTGCTTCTCATTGTAACGGCAACATTCGCTTCGTTTCTTCGATGGCATCAAAACCCTAATTTATCCGAACCTCAAAACCCTAGTCCACTATCATAACCGCCACTGCCATGGCGGACAGCGAGCTCGATGATTCCATTAGCGGTTACAAGCTTTGTGGATTCCTTCGCGTTGTTCTTGCAGTTGCCCAACAGTCGCGAGCCCTACCTTCCTGTGTTCCTTGCTCCCTTTTTGCTGATGGCTCCAATGTCGGATTCAGAACCTACGACGGCATCTTGCTGTTTCCTGTTTCCGAAGTTAATGCACCTCAAGAGATGGGGCGGGAGGAGAGCTCTGCATGGAATGTTGGCGGCTGCACTGGAGCGGGATTGAAGAGGAAGCGACGGGGGTTGGGAGGGTGCAGGAGCATCGTTCATCTGCTGCAAATGCTCACTGCGAAGAAGTGCGTGAATATCCAAGCGAGGGTTCTGAAGGTTTCGTCACGGGAATTTGGCGATGCGAGAGCGTTGATATTGGTGGATGTTTATTTGCCTATTGATGTTTGGAGCGGGTGGCAGTTCCCTAAGTCGGGTGCTTTAGCTGCTTCCTTGTTCAAGCATGTGAGGTGTGTCCTATTTCTGGTTTCATGTTGCTTTCTAGTGGAAAATGAAAATCATTCACTCGGTATTTGCGTTGTAGACTCTAGTGACTTTTACCCGTTTCCTTCAATTCTGGAGTGATGCTCTTGTTGCTTCTACCTTGGTTGCATATTTATGCAGGTTTGGGTTGTGGTTTTATAGCAAAATTTTGAACTTTTATTGGATCTCTATTATTATTATTCAATCGAAACCCTGCAAGAAGAAGAAGGAAAGTTGTTTTTGCGGTGGGGTGGTGGGGGTGGGGTGCATGGTGTTGGGGGTGGCGGGTTGGTGGGGGTTGGGTGTGTGTGTGTGTGCTATGGCACATGGCATGTGGATAGAATTACAGTCAATGCTAATTTTATTGAACTATAAATTTAATGCATTAAGATCCATGCATTCAAATTTTTTGATTTATATACAATATTATCCTCAATTTCAGCTTTCTTCTTGATGTGTGTTGGAAGGTCCACGACAACAGAATTATTATTTAGCATCTCAGCATTATACTAGACTTCAACATATACTTATGTAATTAAAGAGAAGTAAGCAGAGGGTGACACCTTGATTTTATGTGGATAAACTCTGAAAGTGAAAAAAATAATGGGGCCTAGTCCAGTTAAAATAATCTAATATAAATTGTAAGTGTGCATGTCCACTCTTCTTCTGAATTAGAGAAGATGAAATTACATAGTTGATCATTGTAAGTATACATTAGTGTTCATCAATACAAGCTGTAGTCTGACTTTGATGAATGTAGTTCTCGATGATAGTAGACCGCAAGGGCTATAGATGATTGCTATGAAGGAAGTAGTCCGCCATGAATGTTTTAGACGGTGTTTGTAGCACTAGCTTGTCGTATAAGCTTTCCTTAAAGACCATGGTAGTAGTCAGCCATCTAGACTGTAGATGGCTGCTTTAGGTGTTTCGTTTGGCTACATATATCGTTGTAGGAAGATGCAGGGACTGTGAGCCACTTAGGTCGTAGTTGGTGACATGGACCGTAGTGGTGAGCTGCAATGACATCCGTAGACTGCAGGGGTCCAAGTTGGGAATTGCATTAATTGTGATTCACATGGTTTGTAGTTGGTCACGTAGGTCATGGTGGTGAGCTGTGACGACATTCGTATATCAGTGGGGCCTGAGTCGGGAGCTACACTAGTTGTGAATCATATAGGTTATAGTTAGTTACGTAGGTCATAATAGTGAGTTATGATGACGTTCATAGGTTATGAAGGCGAAGTTGGGAGCTGCATGAGCTATGAATCATGTAGGCTGTAGTTGTTCATGTAGGTCATAGCAGTGAGCTGTGATGATGTCCATAGGCTGTGGGGGCCGGAGTTGGAAGTTGCATGAGTTGTGAACCACATAAACCGTAATTTCTCATGTAGGTCATAATGATGAGTTGTGATGTCGTCCGTAGGCCGTGGGGGCCAGAGTCAGAAGCTACATAACCTGTGGATCACGTAGGCCGTAGTGGTGAGTTGCGATGATGTACGGAGATTGCAGGAGCCGGAGTCGGGAGCTGTACGAAAAGAGCTTTAAGAGTTCGGAGAAAGACATCGTCTTTGGGGTATATTATTATGCCATACTTTGGGAGTGTCGTTGTATTGTAATTAGGGAGATTTATTACTTTGTAATATATGTCAGGATTCTACAATGCACGTTCTGACTTCACAAGTAGCTTCACTGGAAGGAGTAGGCGAAGACCGATGATTGTTGACATCAGCCGACGACGGCGGTGGCTGCCTGAGTTGGCAAGATGTTGTCGTTGTCAAAGGTGGCGGAGGCCGGAGTTACCAGAGGTGGTGCAACCAGAGTTGGCGGGAGGCAGCAACGACAGGAGTTTGTGGGAGGCAGCAGCGGCCAGAGTTGGCCGGATGGTAGCGGAGGCCAGAGTTGGCTTGGTGGCATTGATCGACGACTGCAGGAGCAGAGACTAGCCATCTGCCGACGACGGTTGACAGAAGTTGGTGACTGTAGGTGCAGGAGGCATGCGGTGGGCGGCAGTGGTATGAAGCGACGACAGTGGTCGCAGGCGATGGAGGCTCTTGCAAAGGGTCTAGCTCTGCTTCTCATGAGGGGGTTAGGGTTTATTTATAGAGTTTATGTTGTGAATAAGGAAAGAATCCAATCCACGCTTCATTAGATGACAGAGATATCCCCTTGATCGAATAATGTTTGATTAACATTTTAGGGCATTAATCTTGTCAGAATTGTGCAATTTTGAGCTAATTGGATTTGTATTGTTGAGACGCTCGAGTTGACTGTAAACATGTCATATTCAAAATCTATTTAACTTTTCAATCATGCTTGGAAAGATTATAAAGTGTTTTAACAGCTTAATCTGTGCTTGATTTGACTTAGATTAGATCGATTTTGGTACCGTTGACTCCGTCTCATCGAGCTAGTCAATTTGATTTTAAGTTTGTTAAAATTGGAGTTCTCGGTGACTTTTAATGGAAGTTTGAATATTTCTTGTTCAATGAATTGTCTTGAGATCCGTGTCATGTCTCGAGATTCATGTTTAATGTTGAAAATTTATTGATAACGTATTTATTGCTCCTTATTTTAGGGCAAGCCCATCTTTGTCGTCCGAAAATATTAAAATAAGGAGCAATTTTATTTTCATGATATTATTGATGTAATACTAAAGATTTGGATGCTATGCATGTAAATATACAATTTTTGGTGTTAGTAATATAAATATATAAGAATTACATGGTATGTAAGTAATATTTCGGTCAAATCAAGTCCCCTTGAGATCGATTAAGCCCAAAATGAGGTATCAGAGATGCCTGTATTTTTCGAGACAGGGACGTAGGTCGCATTGATCGTATTTTTATTGGAAATATGATTGCAGCCTTACTCAAGAATGATATTTGTCAACTTGGTATTCGCTGCTTTTGAATTTGTTGTCCCTCAACGAGGTTGTTTTTCACACAAGTTTGTGAAGTAGCCCATGTAGTGAACTTTAAAGAGATTAGCTTCCTGATACGGTTGAGAAAGAACCCTAATATGGTGTGGGGGTGCTGAGAAAACGTTATTTGTGAACTTGTCCCTCAGTCTGAAGTGGTTCTCGAAGACGTGATGTCTAAATAAAATGTGGGATGACTATCTCGCTACAGTCGTGCATGAGACTTTAATGTAAACGAGTTTTCGAGGTTGCAGTGAAGGTTGCGCCTCAGTCTGAAAAATCTTCTATATATTTGATGTCTGAATGATTTGCGGGAAGACTGCCGACTACAATCATGCCCAACTCATTGAAATGAACGGCTTTTCAATACAATAAGATTGCCCCCCACATCGAAGGATGTTTCAGAGGTTCAGAGGTGTTTCTTTCGCCTGTTGTATGATGTATTTCATTGGGAGTTGAAGTAGGGGCTCAATGACTTAAATTTAAAGACAGTGTCGAACGAGACTTCATTTTCCACAGAGGACATCATATTGATGCGTGCTAGAAGGTTCGCGGCAGCAGAATAATTATTTAACATCTTAGCGTTGTACTAGACTCCAACACACACTCAGATAATAAAAGATAAGTATACAGAAGGATATATCTTGATTGTTACCTGAAAAACTCTGAAAGGAGGAAAAATCATGAGACCTAGCCCAGTTGAAATAATTCACTATGAATGATGAGTACGCAGGGTCGCTTTTCTTCTAAATTAAGGAAGATGGAGTTACAAAGTTGATTATTATAAATGTACAATAATGGTTCATGGATCATTGCCGTAGTCTGACTGTGATAATTGTAGTTCTTGATGACAGTAGACTGTAAGAGCCATAGTCGATTGCAATGGAGGTAGTGGTCCGTCATGATGTTGTAGACAATGGTCGTAGCGTCAGCTTGTTATATAGGTTATAGTTGAAGGACATGGTAGTAATTGACCATGTAGGCTGCATACGATTGCTTCAAAAGCGTCGTTTGGCCACAGAAGCCGTAGTAGGAAGCTATAGAAGCTGTGAGCCACGTAGGCCACAATTGGTCACGTGAGCCGTAATTGTGAGTTGCAATGGTGTCCATAGGCTGCAAATACCAGAGTCGGAAGTTGTACTAATTGTGAAACACGTAGGCCGTAATTGGTCACGTAGGCCGTAGTGGTAAGCTGTGACGACGTTTGTAGGCCACGAGGCCCAGATTCGGGAGCTACATGAGCTGTGGACCACGTAAGTTGTAGTTGGTCACTTAAGCCGTAGCGGTGAGTTATGATTATGTCCGTAGGACGCGACCGTCGGAGTTGGGAGTTGCATGAGCTGAGAACCATCTAAGTCATAGTTGCCACTTAGGACGTAGTGGTAAGCTTTGATTATGTCCGTAGACCGCGGGAGCTGAAGTTGGGAGCTGCACGAGCTTTGAATCACTTTGGTCATAATGGTGAGTTGTGATGGCGTTCGTAGGCCTCTAGTGTTGGAGTCGGGAGCTGCATGAGCTGTGGACTACGTAGGCACGTAATTGGTCACATAGGCTGTAGTGGTGAGTTGTGATAACGTTTGAAGGCTGCAGGGGCAGGAGTCGGGAGATGTATGAAGAGAGCTTTAAGAGTTCAAAGAAAGTCATCGTCTTTGGGGTATTTTATTACACCGTCTTCAGGAGATGTTGCTGCACCGTAAGTGGGTTGCATTGTTACTTTCTAATGTACACCGGAGTTTCGCAGTGTACATTGTAATTTCACAAGGGACTTCGCTGTAAGGAGCAAGTGGAGACCGATGATGGTTGATGGCGGCTGGCAGTGGCAGTTGCGACCGAAAGTGGCTGCGGCCGAAGTTGGTCGGAAATGACAATGACTAGAGTTAGCTGGAGGTTGGCAGAGACTGGAGTTGGTTGGAGGGCAGGGAGACTGGAGTTGGTTGGAGGGCGGGGAGACTGGAGTTGGTTGACCGGTGGCTAGCTGTGCTTGGCGGCTGAAGGTGCACGAAGCTGACGGTGAACAGTGGTGGCCAAAAGCGGCGGCAGCGGCCGGAGGCGGCGACAGCTCTTACCTAGGGCTTAGCTTCCTTTTCTTATGAGGGGGTAGGGCTCTATTTATGAAGTCCATATTGCAAATAAGGAAATTCATATCACTCTAAGACGACCTAGAGAGATCCCCTTGATCAAGCAGCTTTCAATAAACATTTTAGTGTTTTAATAATGTTAGAATTGAGCGATCTTGGGCTTGTTGGACTTTTCTTGCTGAGGCGCTTAATTTGATTGTAAGTATTTTATATTCATAATTCGTTTTACCTTTCAATTATGTGCAGGAAAGCTTCTAAAAGTGGGTTTACAGCTTGATCTGCTCTTGATTTGACTAAGATTGGATTGATTTTGTTACCGTTGGGTTCGTCTCGTAGAACCAGTCAATTTGACTGTAATTTTGCTGAAATTAGAGTTTTGGATGACTTTTTAATCGAAGTTTGAACATTTCTTGCAAAAAAATTGCCTCAAGATATCCATGTCATGCCTTGAGATTAGTGTTGGATGTTGGAAATTTATTGATGGCATATCAATTCTATATTTGTTGCACAATCTCTTTTTCGGGGTAAGCTTATTGTGGTTTTTATAAGCTAATTTCACTTCCCATTTGTCTGCTGCCTGGAGGTGTATTAAACGTGATCTTATAACCTTATTTTAAACCATGTTAAAGAAAAGTGGGCCTTTTCTTGGATAAAGCCTAGATCTCCTAGATCCTATTAAATGCAAGTTTTCCTTTCAATGTTGGAGGCCTGAATGGATATGACATTGAATAAGTGAGGGAGTTATAATCCACTAAGATCTTGCTAGTATAGTCTAGGAATATGAATGAGCTGTATTTTACTAGTAATGGAAGGATCATTGGTACATCTTTACTTGGAGAAAGCTTAGATCCTCGTCAATGCTAGTTCTCTTTCATTGCTGGAGGCCTAGGTGGTTGTGAGAACATTGAATGAAGTGAGCAAATTATAGTCAACTAATATTATGTATCTATACATGTGAGATAAGCTTATAGAGGCAGTAGATGCCCTGATTTGTGTCTTAATATCAGCATTGGGATAATTCTAAAGATTTAGGAGTGAATTGAAAAACAGTAACTTTAGTTTTTATGATCTCTAGTGGATGACTTGGGAGGGTTTCAGTTAGACCATTGTGAACAAGTGTTGTTTCAATGCATTAAGAAGATATTTAACCTAAAGAAATGTGGGGATATGAGCTATGCATCCTTGAGCGAAGCTATGCTGATTATCTTCAGCTATGTTATAAATTGATGCAACAAGGATTTAAGATCATAGAGAATTCAATAGAAAACATGGTTCTTGATGTTATTATGTATCCATGTTCATGTTTTAAACCCACATCTAGGATTGTTTTTACCAAGAAAACACACATTTTACTATTTTGAACCCTTAAAGCCCAACCTTGAATTCTTATGTAACAAGTAAATATATGCACTAGGATCATAAATTGCTTTCACATTTAACATTTTACTACTGCACATCCATGTTGCGTTGTTTCTTTGAAAATAGCTTTTAAGTAGATCTTATTGCATTTCAGATCCACAATGATTCTTGATAATATATAATCTCACATTGATCCAAAATTAGCCTACCAAATTTGGTGGATAGTTATCTGCATTATAATAGCTCTAATTTTAGCCAACCATATGTTTGGCCATGCCGCGTTTGCTAGTTTGGCTGTAGCTTGCCTTCAGAGAACTGCCCTTTTTAGTGACTTTTAGTGCATTTCTAAGACATGTGATTTTAGTGATTCATCGAGTCTACAATTAGAAACTAAATTTGATTTTTTTTTCCTTATTTTCCTCCTACAAGCATTTGATTATCTACGTTGTTTTGCTGATAAGCTTCCTACTGATAATAACTGCGACTTATTATTTACAGTTGCAATTGGGAAGCCAGAAGTCCATTGCTTTCCTCTAATCATAATAATCGGGATTATCCTGATGCAGATGATGAAGGCATTTGGAGTATATCTAATTGTCATGTTTTTGGTTGTGAAACACACAATGCATCTTCATCTGGTCGTAACCGGTCGTTTGATCTTCATGAGATTTTTAAGTGTTTGCCTAGTGCAGGGAGGGATAATATGATTCCCAATACTAGAATGGAACCTGAGAACACATCAGCACGTCCTGGAATCTGGGATCTTACTGATGATGTATTGTATAAGGTCTTGTCTTTACTTCATCCCATAGATGTTGTTAGGATTTCCGCTACTTGCCATCACTTGAGATGCTTGGCATCATCTATCACACCATGCATGAAGCTTAAGCTATTTCCACATCAAGAGGCAGCAGTTGAGTGGATGTTGGAACGTGAACGCAAACCTGAATTTATGTCTCATCCTCTTTACATGAGGTTTTCAACGGTAGATGGTTTTTTATTCTATATCAATGCTGTTTCAGGAGAAATATCAACTGGTGCAGCACCCACCATTAGTGATTTTCGGGGAGGATTGTTTTGTGATGAACCTGGACTTGGAAAAACTGTAACCGCACTTTCTCTTATTTTGAAAACACATGGTACATTGGCTGATCCACCTGATGGTGTAGATGTAAGATGGTGCATGCATAAATTGGACCGAAGATGTGGGTATTATGAACTTGGTTCTAATAACTTGACTACTACGTACCTCCAATCAGCATGGAAAAGATTCATTGATCGCAATTGTCAAAAAGGGAAGGATTGTTCAAGCAAGTTATCATCTGATCTTGGCTCCTCTGCAACCACAATGCCTCCTTCACTAAAGCAAGGTAGACCTTTACATTGTGAGATATCTATTGCATCAAAAGCTGCTTCAGTTATGAAGTTGAGTACCTCGTCATCTAGTACGTACTCGACACAACTAAAATGTGCTGCTAGATCAACTAGAAGTTTGAACCTTCTTAAAAGGGATCTTATGGACACATATCAAAAAAATGCTGATGTTGACCAAAACAAAAATGGTATGGATAATCTGATTAGCAGCATTGACATAAAAAATGTTACTAGAGTCCAGTCCATTACAGATCAAGATGCATTGTTAACAACATCTAACAAAAAACATAAGAGAGATAATATTCCTGATTCCGGTGAGACCTGGGTTCAGTGTGATGCTTGTAGAAAGTGGAGGAAACTCACAAATAGACAATATCTCGATACAAAAGCTGCATGGTTTTGTAGCATGAATATTGATCCATCCCATCAAAGTTGTGCTGTTCCTGAAGAATCTTGGGACTACAAAAGGAAAATTACATATTTACCTGGTTTTTATACCAAAGGAAACAAACCAGGGAAGGAAGAAAATATCTTATTTTTTACTAGTGTTTTAAATGACCATCTTATGTTACTTGATTCTAAAGCAAAGAAGGCTCTTACCTGGCTTGCTAATCTTTCCACATATCAACTATTAAAGATGGAAAATGTTGGCATAACATCTCCATTTGTAGACTATTCAACAGTTTTTGGCAAACAATCTTATTCGTACCATGCGATATTTCAAGCATTTGGTCTAGTGGCAAAACCTCACAGACAACAAACTAAGTGGTTTTATCCACGCACGCTTGAAAATTTGATCTTTGATTCCACTGCCCTTAAGACTGCTCTCACCAAACCTTTGGACTTATGCAGGCTTTATCTGTCTGGAGCAACATTGATTGTTGTTCCCGCAAATTTAGTTGAGCACTGGAAAACCCAAATTGAAAAGCATGTTTCTCCTGGTCAACTACATGTTTATGTCTGGAATGATAACAGTAAGCCAGGTGCTCACAATCTTGCATGGGATTATGATGTGGTTATAACAACTTTTAACCGATTTAGTTCTGAATGGAGCCCTCATAAGAAGAGCGTACTAATGCAAGTGCATTGGCTTAGGGTAATATTAGATGAAGGCCACACTCTTGGTTCAAGTCTCAGTTTAACAAACAAGTTTCAAATGTCCATCTCCTTGCATGCATCAAATCGTTGGATTTTAACTGGTACTCCAACTCCAAATACCCCAAGCAGCCAGGTGGCACAGTTACATCCCATGCTCAAATTTCTTCATGAAGAAGCCTATGGACTAGATCACAAATCATGGGAGGCTGCCATCCTTAGACCTTTTGAAGCATATATGGTGGAGGGACGTGCATGTTTGTTGCAGCTACTTAAAAGAATCATGATAAGTGCAAGAAAAATTGATTTGAAGAGTATTCCTCCTTGCATCAAGAAAGTAACATTTTTAGACTTCACTGCAGAGCATTCAAAGAGCTACAATGAACTTGTACTAACTGTCAGGCGCAATATTTTAATGGCTGACTGGAATGATCCTTCTCATGTTGAGTCACTCTTGAACCCTAAACAATGGAAGTTTCGTAGTAGCACGATAAAGAATGTCAGGCTCTCTTGTTGTGTGGCCGGTCATATTAAAGTAACTGATGCTGGCCAAGATATTCAGGAAACTATGGACATACTAGTGCAGCAAGGCTTAGATCCTTTTTCAGAGGACTATGTATTCATAAAGATCGCACTTCTGGATGGATGTAGCTGTTTCAGGTAATTTGAACATTTTGAATGCATTGTCTTACTTACACTGCATTCCTGC